ATGCAGAATAACAATAAAGTTTCAGATTTAACTAATATAATATTAGCAATGTTGAAGACCATCAATTATTGGAACTATTTGAGAATCCTCTGCCACAAAAAAGAGATAAAGAGAGAGAAATAAAAATCGAAACAGAAATTAATACGTAATGTCATGCATCGCAATTCATAATGTCGTACAAAAATATGGTTGACAAAATTCCGATGCGAATTCAATAGTGCGACACAAATTAAATCTCAATTTTAAACCCTAATTTCCAAAATCATACATGAATTAAGTATGGAGGTCTCTGATACCAATTGTTGGGCTTTCTATCAAACAATAATTGTGCCTAACCACATGTTATTTGATAAGTCTATAATGAGACCCTATTTTACAGCCCATATATTCATATTTGACTTTTATTTTATTTGGTGCTCACACTAATTTATATATTAATTATACAATTTAGTATAAAGATGTAGCAAGTATACTTTGGATGTGTTTGGGCCCAAATTGATAGAAGATTAAAGCTTCGCAGCAGTCAGTACGCCCAGACCCTTTCAACAAGCACGTGGGTGCTTCGAGCTCATGCACGGTCGTGCTTAAGGCCTTGCACAGCCGTGCTCATCTGCGAGAAGCCCAATTATCAAGAGTTTTTAGGATTTTCAAACCCTATTAAAAGGATATCTTAGGCATCGTAAAGGAGAACACTTTTAGATCTAGTCTTTGGCTTTCAGATACACCTCTCATCTCGTCTCTCTTGCACGAGATCCTTGGCACATGCTTGGCGAGACTTGGAGCTTCAAGCGATCGTACTTGAAGACCATAAACACATCTCATACTCTAGTTTGCTATTTCTTTTGATTATGACTTTGTTTATGATTGTTTTAGTTCTTTTCTTTAGCATGTGTAACTAAGTTCATAGCTAGAGCTATGGGAACTATTGTTCATGAATTTATGGGATTTTGACGTTTGAATCTAAATTTGATTTCTATTTCGTAATTAGATTTTATCCTATTGTGCTTCTCTCTTAATCCTAATTAATTATATCGTCAGGCCACTGTACCTCAGTTAGTTAATAGATCTACAGGGTAAAATGAGACAAAGGATTAGGTGGACCAAACCAATCTTTCTCTTCTAATCGTTATTAAATTAACAAGTTCATAGGTTCCTTAAGCTTTCTCAAATTGATGTCTTGCATGACCATTGAGGATGTTAATTTAGATAAAAGAATATTAATATTGCATGACCATTGGGTATTAATAGAATTTGTATGAATGATTGGTAATTACAAGAAAATCTGATTTAGAGTTAAACAGAAAAATAACATAAAGGATTGAATGAGAAAACCCATGTGCCCTAGGTTCCTCTCCGATAAGTTTAACCAAGACGTGCATTGTAGTCATTGCTCTTAGTTTTATAATTGATTTTATAAATTCTTGTTTTTAATTAATCTTGTATCTTTGAAGCTCAAACAATTGAATTAGAAAATTTTTAGTAATTGGAAATCAATCCTTGTGGGACGATATTTCGAGAACTTAATTTAAGAACTATTTATTACTTTTGGATGGGTACACTTGCTCTCCGTACAATATCCATATAGAATAAAAATTACAGCACAATCATAGATTTTCTTATGAACTCATACCCCAATTCATGATGAAAATAGAATGCAGAAGCTTACTTGAATTTGCTATTAGGAATGATGAAGGTTATGAGATTGACAACGAGTTTTTGATCTTTCAAATGTAGAGCACCTTAGATTTTGTTTTTGGGTTTCTCTTCTAACGGGGATGAAGAGAGAAAGAACTGTAATTATACGTGTTGTTACTTGCTCTACAAATGGGGACCATAACCCTTGTATTGGTAACTACCATCAGTTACCCCAAAATTGATAATTATAATTTGGCCCCTCATCAAATTATAATATCACCAATGGTATCTACACAATTAACCTTTCATGACATATATGCCCTTAGCCATAAACTTTATATTAATTAGACCACTTTAATATTTTGGCTAATAAAATAATAGCCCTAAAACATTTAATTATGTAATATATATATATATATATATATATATATATATATATATATGATCCAAAATTGTTAACAATTTTTTTTTTTATGATTCTTTGGATAAGATAAAAACTAAATATCGTCATGGGCCCATATGCACCATGCTATTTAATATCAAGTCATTTTTTCAGATATTTTACCATCATGTCTTTTGTGGCACACATATCTCATAATTGAATGTTTGGTGTCAATTTATTGTTTTAACCCTTTTTTTCACCCAAGTCTCATGCTACATATAAACTATCACGACATCAGAAATAAGATTTTAGAACACTAACTCAAAATGAGATTTTGGAGCTGTAAACGGTTATTAAAAAATATTTTTATAATATTACATTTAGAAAAAAGAAGAACGACTCTTTCATGTATAGTTTTTAAAGCAGTTTTTTATTAACTATTTTTTAAAGTTATACACTTTAGAGAGTAATTAATAAATAATTTTGCTTTTTAAAATTTTTAAATTTTATAAATGAAACATATTTAAGTCACATTTTATGAATATCTTTATTTTGCGTTACTCTCTTTTATCTCTGTAAGTTCTCTTTATCTTTTTCATCCTTTATATGCTAATAAAGTTAGTCTCTTTCACGTTTGTAGATTCTTTTCATCTTCTTGTGCTGACAAAATTGATTTTTTTTATAAGTATCTTATTTACAATTCTCTTCATTCTCTTTTTCTTTCTTTTTCTCTTTATTAACATTGAACCATCGTACTAATTTGTTCTCTCTTTCTCTCTGCTTACTTGTATTTGGTTAATTTAAATGTGAACTATTTAGTTAACACAACATACAAACTTAAGTTTTAATTTTGATTTATGATAAAATAAAAAAAATTAAATATCATATATATAAATACAAATTTAAATATAACAATAAATTAATTTTAGAATTTAGAGTTTAGAGTTTAGGAACTCAAAAATCAGATTTCAAATTTCAAATTAATTTTTTTTCATAATAGAAAACTAAAAAAAAAAATATTTCAGATTAGTTATTTATATTTATACTCTTCAAATTTCAGATTAGTTATTTATACTCATACTTTATTCTGAAGAGTTGTTATATAAATCACTGTCTAAGTAATATGAAACTGTTATCTAATATCAATATTTGAGAGCAGTTATTTAACCACTCTCTCTTAAATACAATACATTAGATAGCATAAGATTTTAGAACAATTATAAATATTTTATAAATTAAAACAGAATCATTTTCATATCTCATTTCTATTGTAGTATATATGCTCCAGTTCTATTACAATTTTTTTTTTTCATATTATTTAAACTTTTAGTTTCAATTTTGTTTTTTCTATAAGTTATTGATTTTAATGGTGACAAGAAGATCGTCACAATTAATAAAAGTTATCATAATTTCTAGAAGTTATAAGCTATTGTAATTAATAGACAAAAAGAATAAAATCAAAGTTTAAAAAATAGAAAAATTAATTGAAAAATATAAAGGTATAGGATCAAACAAAGACTTGTACGTGCCTTGCTTATTCAGGAATATAACCTTTAGTTTGTGTAACGCCATTAATTAAACTTCGCTGAATTATATATATATATATATATATATATATATAGATGATCAAATTTATACAGCAGTCTGATATTCATGTTCGCACCCTAATAATGCTAACATATACTTTTGTTTCACAATTGTACGGTATGACAACGTAGTATTGAGAACCCTTATAGACTTTATATTAAAGATAAGTAATAATATTTCGTAACTATGATAAAAAAAAAAATCACGACAAGTAAAATTTGCTAAAAAAATCTCAATGAAAGAAATTCGACTTAATTTTTATATGAATTAATTTCATTCATTCCCTTTCAACGTATCCAATGCTAATACATTGCTAATATGTAATTATAAGTCTCTTACGATGTTTAAATAAAAATATCTCTGTACTTTAACTTCCTATATGTAGCTTGGGAATATATTCCTATCTCGCAGATGAATCACATCCACCACTTCTGAATGTTGCTGGGAATTTTATAGCTACCACATGATCAATATTCGTGTGTATATATATTCTAAATAAATCATATATGTGTGTGTGAGGTGTCAAGATTATCTTTTACCACGTAAATACAGTTTATTACATCTGAAAGGGACAGTACTTACTTTTAAAAGAAAAAATTTTAGTACCTGGGAGTTGGGTGGCAGCTTCCCAGTCACCCACTTATTATATTCACCTACCCTATCCCCTCACCCTCCATATATTCTACTTTCCTACATTTTAAAAATACTCTTCCAACACTCTCTCCTTTCTCCTACCCTTTTTATTTTACATCAGATATTTTTTATTTGCCTTTGTATTATTGTCTTTATTATATATATACATAAGAATAAAATCTATCTACACTAATATAAGTCTACAATACATATAATAATAAATAAAATAATAAATTATAACACATTAAATATAAATTAAATAAAAAATTTAAATTAAGTGTAAAAATTTTTAAACATATATTGGTGTAAAAAAATCTTACCATACATATATATATATATATATATATATATATATATATATATATATATATAATCAAGTCAAGATAAATTATTATAATGTGATTGTTAGTAAAATTTTATTAGTTAGTAACTAATTGTAAGAACAATCACTAAGTTATTCAAATAACATACCAAAATATAGAAAAAATATTATATTTAATATATTTAAAGAAAAGAAATAATTACTATTTATAAAAAATAACATAGTAAATCATAATATATAAAATCAGTATTCATAAAGAAACACTAATGTACTATCATATAAAATAATATCTAATAAACCATACCAAAAATACAAAATAAAAAATTATCATCACTTTTTTATTTTCATCATAAGATTGCCATTAACAAAACTAAAATAAATTAACTAACCCCAATCAAGAAATAACACCATTGTGTAGTGACAAAACAACAACGCGTAATAAGGCAAAGGATAGGAGCCTATGTTGACTTCAAATGTATCGCGAAACGAATAAAAGAGTGAAGTTATTCGCATATTATTCAGTGGATGTTGCTGGAATGCTGCCACTTGCACTGTACAAACTTGGGATTTCACCAAATACACTTCATAAAGAAAGATGTCACCTGATAATTATGTTACTAATCTCCTTGCTCTAGTCATATTTGTAGTTAGTAGCTTTCATGTTTAGAAATAGATGCATTATTCAGACACCTTGCCTCTTCCAATTTAGAAATATTGAATGTAATAAATTTTGGCAGGCAAACATACTAAACTATTATTTATATCCTACTTACATTTTGACAATTTGTTCCTGTAATCTATCTCCTTGTACTTTGATAAAATTTTACTAGGTACTCCCTGAAAACTTTGCCAAGCTAGGAATCATTTCTCACAAGAACCTGTTAATTTATTTACTTTTGAAGCACCTTTGAACCTTCATAGGAGAATAACCGGACTGCATTCTGGTAACTTGATTCAGCAAGTTCTTCTTTCGTAATCTCTAGCAAAGATGCAACATAATCAAGTACCTGCAAGTGGATGGAAATAAAGATTATAAATCTAATAAAACGGGTCCCTGCACATGCATACATTCTACAATAATCAAGCAATTTGTAGGTTCTGTAGTTCACTATCCTGCTGAGTTTTCTTAACACTGCTAGCAAATGCGTGTTTAATTTGAGGTGTTGTCGCGCACTCTCCTTACCTTTGCAATGTAAGAGGAAGCACCCACATACATGCAAGAGAATAATACATTTTCAACCCTGTAGTTAATTAAGGGCCTGATAGGATAACATTGAAAGTTTCCATGAAAAAAACAGATATTATGAGGCAATTTTTCTGAAAACTTAAAAAATCTGTGAGAAACGGAGTTATGAGAAAATACATACAAGTACTAAGACTAATTTACATGCTCCTTGTTTGAAATTATATAACAACCTCCCTTCAGGTAAGACAAACCTACTGGTTCAATTCATTTCCACAGACCCTCCTGATATATATACCCTTTAGACAGTTAGTTATTTATAATCAGTGATATGTATAAATGTTACCAGCATTACAAGAAATATTGGGCTAAAAACAAGGAAAATTTACCTCCAAACTTCCATTCTAAATTGCATTTTGTCCTCTCCTGTTCTAAAAGTGAAATTCGCTAAAGCTATTTTTTGGTTCTCTCGAGTGAAAATATTTTTGAAAATAAAAGTGAAATTCGCTAAAGCTAAACCCACTAGTTTCCTTATTCTGCTCCATTTTGGCTTAAGCAAATTCTTTACTTAGGCAAAAATTTCATTTTTCATTTTTCCTTTCCTTCTACATTTTCCAGCAAAACCATTCAAGATACTTAGAAAACGATACTAAAAGTCTAGAACTAATATATTTGGCATGCTATTCTACTCATGTATCTATAAACAACTAAGAATGAAATGCAATTTTGAATAGAAGTTTGGAAGTAAATTTTCTTCTTTTCAGCTAAATATTTCTATTAGGATTTACAGTTATCAAGCTCTCCCCAACTTAGCATGTTGCTTGTCCTCAAGCAAAATTCACAAATCAAACCATAGAAATGCAAAATGTTCAAGGTTTGAAAAGATAAATCATCTACTTCCACATATTTCAAATTATCGAAGATTGCCCACATATTAGGATGACTGATCAACCCTATGTATGTGTGGTGCCTACAACTGGAAGTCATAACAAAGATACAATTGCATAAACTGTTTAAGAACCAACAAGTATAACACTCAATTATCAATAACCCAAGAAAAACAAGGGTTAATCCTTACCATTGTATCTCTTAATGAAATTTAAGGGTGAATGTTTCTCTCATCCAAACACTGAGCCTAGATCAAGTCAAATTTATCTTCATCTCCAACATATCACAAATTACATATTCAACATGGAGCAGAAAGGTCTTGATAGAGCTGTAATGTGACCTAAGTACAAGAAAATTTGGCTTTTCTAGATAAAATAAATAACACCTTAGGTTTTGTTTGGAAGTCTGGAGAGAGGGGGAAGGAAGGAATTTAAAGGATAAGAAAGAAAAGGAGAAGGGTGAAAGAAAGAGGGTTACTAAAAAATTTTCTAAATTGGAGGAATTAAAAAACATAAGCTTAGAAGGGTTTTGGAGTGTTTATAAACCTTCTCCCTTTCATCTTAAAACTCTCAAACAAATATTGTCACTAAATAAACCTTTTCCTCCCCTCCTTTTTCCCCAAAAAACTAATAATGAAGAAAGCCTTAGAGAATTAAGAGAAAAAAGAACTAATTTTCAGGAAGTACAAACTCTTTCCCTTGTTTAAACCTCATTATTGGCTTTCTTTGGTGAATTAGCCACAACATAAATCCTCTTAAAATTTCTTTTCTTACACTTTTTTTATTGACATTAATAAGAAACTATCACCATGAATATTTCCCAAGGATCTATGTACATTTCTACAACCGTGTATGCTCTTTTAATTCAATTAGATGTGGTGGGTCAGCCACCTACCCTATGGAGGCCTGCCTCACCAGGCATCTCACTTACATTTAATAGCAGCTGGCTCCCAACCACTGTGCCTACACACAGCTGAATAATTCCTTTTACTGGTTCACCCGTCACCAGCATCAAGGAGAGCTTTCCTCCTTCCCATGGCCCACACCGGAATCCTTTGCCACAGTCTCACGGCTTGGGGACAGTCCTAGCTTCCCAAGGAGGAGGACCAGAATGAGGACATAGCAGAACAGGAAGAGGAAGGCCCAGATGATAAACATGATGATGATGGTGGCGATGATGGAGGAGACCACATGGAGGAGGAGGAAGTTAAAGGACATATTAGAGCTGAAAAACAAAATCTTTTTGCTTATTTACATTCACAATTATTTAGATTATGCTTTCACTGCTTTGTACATTTTAGTTTCATTTTAACTTTTTGCTGGCTAAGTCGTGGTTTAATTGAACCCTTTTTCCCATGAAATCATGCTATTTGACTTAGTCTTTGTTTTGTGAATAAGTAAGATTTAATTGATTGTTGATGTTAAGGTTTGAGAGTAAATCACCTAGGCTAGCCACTTATCTGAAGAATAGGAATTTTTAAATTTAGGGTGATTGATAGGTAAAGTGCTAAGTGATTGTACGCCTCAATGACATAGCTTAGATATCTCGTATAAGTTAAGTAATGATTAATGAAAAATAGCATGAAATCTCATGACTCAGGAAATACATAGAAATTATCAGGGTGAATTGTGAGTATCATAAACAGTTATTAAAAGTCAACACGAGAGCCAAATTGTTGATTTTGTTCAATTCTTTGAATTGTTACTGTGTGTAGGATGCCTGAAATTGATCAAGACAATTTTTGTTGATTTTGTTCAATTCTTTGAATTGTTATTGTATGCAGGATACCTAAGACAATTTTTCTCTTTTCTTTAAACCATAGGGCCGATGAGCTAACCTAAGATGTCATCCTTATTTACTCCATGTTGGTTTTATGGAAAAAAAATAAAATAAAATAAAGAAAAGAAGATACGCAGAATTATGAGAAGGATGAATAGAGAAAGAACTCAACTTGTATTCAATAGTAACAATACATTTATTATAAGTTAAAGAAACATAAACTATTTATGTAACTGAAAGATTTGATAACAAACTAAATTAGTCTTAAAATATCAAAACTACTTATTGATTATGATCCTGATCTAATAAACTGAAATAACAAAAAATAACTAATAACAGTTTCAAAAGTATATTGTTTAACACTCCTTGTTTTTTAAACTGCGAATTCTATCTTTTTGTAATTTAAATTTAATAACAAAAGTAGATTTGTTGTCAACAGGATCTTGTATTCTCTTTCTACTTCAAATTAAAATCAAATAAAGTCTTCTTTTACCAAAGAAAAAAAAAGTAATAAACTGAGTCACTTTGATCATTGTTAAAAAAATCAATTAACATGAATTTTTCATTCCTCTTGAAGTTGATGCTTGAGTTACAATGTGTCTTTGAAATATTTAACCACTCTTTTTGCAACCTTGAAATATCTTTCATTTGCACTATAGATGAAACAAGAAAGCACTCGAGATATTAGGATGAAATGTTGTAGTATTTTCTTTGTCATGAAAAAATTGTTTGCTTCTCCTTCAATAGATTCAAAGTAAAATAAATTCTTTTCATTTTCACTTTGAAAATATCTTGATCAACTTCATCTTTAATCAAACAATGTTTGTTTTCAAAAATAACTTTGAATCTCTCTTCAATCAATTGATCAACACTTAACAAATTTGGTTAATTTTAGGAACCAAAAGAACATCATGAATTAACTTCGTACCTGAATAGTTTGCTCTTGCAATTGTTCCCTTTCCTTTGACTAAGATGAAATCACCATTACCTATTATGACTTTGGTGATGTTAGTCGGTATCAAATCTCTAAAGAGTTTTTTGTTATTAGTTATGTGGTTAGTACAACCACTATTAATTAACCAACCTTTATTGGATTAAAGTTTAAGAAGCAAGTAACAGCAAATAAATGATCTTCTTCCTCTTGATCAACAATCTTAGCCTCTTCATCTTTGTGTTGGTTTTTATTTTGGCATATAACTTCTTCATGTCCCATTTGGTTGCATTTACTACATTGTGCATCAGGCCTCCTCCAACATTTGAAAGGAGGATGACCAATTTTTCCACAATGATGACATAGAGGATAAGATTTCTTCTTGTTGTATCTTGTACTTTCATGATGCATGACATGTAAGGCTCCCTAAAAACACATTCTTGTCTCATTCCATGCCTTTTGCTCTTGTACTTGCAAGGCATTTAAAAGTTCCACCAATGTGATTTTGGACAAGTATTTGGTATTCTCTAAAGTGGTGATCGTAGCATCAAATCTTTCAGGCATCGTTACAAGAATTTTTTTCTACAATTCTAGAATTAGGAAACTCAATACCTAGTAATCTCACTTGTTAGCTATCCCAAGCAGTCTGTCTAAGTATACTTTGATTGTCTCAGACTCTTTCATTCTTTGGAGTTCAAATTTCTTCATCAAATTCAACACTTGCATGTCTCGAATTCTTTCATTCCCAGCATATGCTTTCTTAAGATAATCCCAAATTGCCTTTGTTGTTTTTAAAATCATGATCCTGGTGAAGATAGTTGTTGAAACACTGGCAGAAAGACATGATTTTGCCTTTACCTTTTGTGTTTTTCTCTCCTTGCGACTTTTTATTTGGGTCATGGTAGAATCGTGCGGCAACAGAAGAACTTCGTTTTGATAGCTTCCCAAAGATTTAAAGCCTCCATGTAAGTCTCAATTTTGATAGCCCAAAGATCATAATTTTCTCCATCAAAGACAGGATGGACAACTTGTGAGAAATTTAATTTAGCATATATTTTCACAGGTCCATAAGAAAATAGCTCTTAATACCACTTTGTTGGTTTTATGGCAAAAAAGTAAAATAAAATAAAGAAAAGAAGATGCGCAGAATTGTGAAAAGAATGAATAGAGAAAGAACTCAACTTTTATTCAATAGCAACAATACATTTATAATAAGTCAAAGAAAC